GGCCGCATGCTGTAGGCACAGAGACGTCCCCGTATGTCGCTGCCTACCTCCGGGCGTGCGCACCCCCCGTCCGCCACTCACTGTGACTGGACAGTCTGTTACAAGGTTTCGGCCAATGAATCATGGCTTGGATCTGCTGATCAGCTGCATCCAATCACAGCCCAGAGTTCTGTGGTGACAACACAGGATTCTGAACTGAGGGAACAATCTCTCAGCTTATCATCCCCCGCGCACACGATACACATTTAACCCCTTGATCACCCCAGACGTTAACCCCTTCCCAGCCGGTGTCATGTGTACAGTATTGTCACTGATCACTGTATTAGTGTCACCGGTGATGTCAGTGGCAGTCAGTTCCCCCCAGTGTCAGTTAGTGTCAGATTGCCCGCCGCACTCCCATCACAGGTATAAAAAAAAATAAAATTTCCAGTATCTATCCCGCCATTTGTAGGCGCTACAACTTTCACACAAACCAATCAATATACATTTATCGGGATTTTTTTTTCTTCCCAAACACGCAGCAGAATACACTTCAGCCAAAATGTAAGAAGAAATTTATTATTTTGTATGGGTTTTACAGCAGAAAGTAGAAAATATAGTTTTTTGTATTCCAAAAGTTTTGGTCTTTTTTCGTTTATACTCAGAGGTGATGAAATACCACCAAATGAAAGCTCTGTGTGAAAAAATGATCAAAATTTCATTTGGGTGCAGTGTTGCATGACAGCGCAATTAACATTTAACGTAGTGCAGTGCCGAAGAGCAAAAAAAAAAATGGCCTGTCATGAAGGGGGGAGGACCTTCTGGAGGTCAGGGGATAAAACTCGGAGCACAACATAAACATTTGTTATTCCCTGGATCAACTTTACCTATAAATATTCGACTACCTCTCGGGGGATCAGGAAGGAATGTCTGTCCCCCCGCAGGAGCAAATTGGATCGGGGGGGGGGGGGGGGAAGTGCCTTCCTCTGGATCAACTGCGGGTATAAGATTCTGTGTGTGTGTGTGCTTATGTATATATATAAATATCCCCAGTGAAGTGACCGGCCTCAGGTGATACACGGAGGTGAAACAAATCCTCCCACATCAGTTGTACCTGTTTATCTGCAGTCTTTTCTCTACAAACCGTCCAAAGTGATGAGTTTATAAAGCTTGTTTGAGAATTCAGAACAGAGGGAGCTGAAGTTACATTCAGTGAGGACAGCTGATTGGAGGGAAAGGACACCAACCCCCCCCCCCCCCCCAATCACCCAGGAACAGAGCTGAGGCTGTCAATCACAGGCTGTGTGCTGGAGCAGTCATTCAGGGAACATGTGACAACACTGGTGCTTTGGTGATTGGCCCAGCACAGTCACATGGGGACAAGTAAAGCGTCCTCAATCCTGTGAAAGCTCCACCTACGAGGAGCTCAGATTTTCTCATCTCCCTTGGGAGCTGGATGGAAAGGTGGGGGCTGAATGGGGAAGGCGGGGGGGTTAGCAGGAGAGATGATTACATGCTGCTAGGCGGGGTGGGCATTGACACCAACCTGTCAGCTAGTCATGCATGGGCCCAGCTCCGATGAAGGCCACTCACACACACAGAACTAGCACTGGGCTCATTCCATAACACAAAGCACCCCATACTCAGCCGTGCGGCAACTTCTGATTGGCTATTGCTGGATTGCTACTCGCCGCTTTCTGTCTGCATTCCATATCTGCTGACATTTGAAATGTGACCAAAAGAAGTGTGTTCTCGGCTCACAAGTCCTTAAAGTCTAAATTTAGTTAAAAAGAAAATAATAATCAGCATAAGGGACATCACTTACCATCAATGCATTGTGTCCCTTGTGCTGCTGGCTCTTGCTTTAGTTGAAAATCCTCCTCCGATGATTGCCATCCCCCCCACCCCCATCTTGCCCTCCTACTCCCACCCCTGTAATCTCTCGGTGCAGCAGGGGTTAATAGATCAGAGGGACGCATCCCATGCTCTATGAAGAGTGCTGATTATTCCCGCCCACCTCCTATACTATACCTTCTATGAATGGAGGAGGCCCACCTTTCATTCATCTGCCCCTCCTCCATTCATAGATGGTTTGTCATTGATAGAAGCTTTAGTACAGCCTCTGAATGGAGGAAGAGGGCGAAAGGGGCGGGCACAGTCACAACTCCTGATGAATGCATAGGACAGGTCCCTCGGCTCTATGAACCCCCCCCCCAATACCAGAGGTTTGTGGGGATCGGAGGACGATTTCTTCTAAAGCAGGAGCCCGCAGCACATGGCACATATCGCACGGATAGCAAGTCCTGTCCCTTGTGCTGATATTTTTATGACTTGACTATAGAGTTCACCCCCTAAACAGACCAAGTGGCAGCAGCCAGACGGGGGCTCATCCCAGAACCCTCTCTGGGCATCTAGGAAGAAGTAGCCGACAAGACTGGTAACAATTCAGCACGGATGTAACTTTATTGCCATCTCCTCCTCCTCTGTTGTGTTTTTTCCAAAAGATCACTATGACGAAACGCGCCGGGGGTGGTGGTCCCAGATCGTGACTCCGGGGTTCATTTACTAAAGCCGAATAGACTGTGCGCTTTGCAAAGTGCAGTTTCTGGAGAGCTTAGTAAATGAGGTGAAGCTTCACTTTGCAAAGAATAACCAATCACATGCAAGGAAAATTAAAAAAAAAAAAAAAAAAAACATTTTTGCTTGCACGTGATTGGATGATGGAAGTCAGAAGAGCTTCTGCTCATTTCCTAAGCTCTGGAGGAACTGCCCTTTGCAAAGTGCTCAGTCTCATTTGCCTTTAGTAAATCAACACCTCTGTGTGTGTTTGTTTGTCCAGAGCAATAAAGTTACATCCTTATTGAATTGTAGCTGGCTTGCCGCTGGCTTTCTTTTGACGTCACAGACAACGGCTGCCTCCAATGAGACTGGAAACCCTCTGATGGATTTTACTGCTGATGAAGATATTCTGGAATACAGAGAATAGAAATCCAGACTTCACATGAATCGTCCGTCCAAACCAGGAACAATAAAAAAAAACAAAAAAAACACAGGTGCTAAAGTCAACACAATGTACTCCATAAACAGTTAAAGATCCCTGCATGCTGCCCATTAAAGATGGCGGATCATTAGGCGTCATGGGCCGCGATCAGTTTAATTTTCTGCATGTGGGCGCGGGAGTTTTTGGCGAAGACGCTTTTGATGATCTGTAGAGGAACGTTCTTCCCGCTGAGATAAATTTTATTTTGGCAGTCCGGGAGGCAGGCGGGAGCGTCCGCGTTATCGCCCCTCTTTAGCATCCACACGTAGGCCAGAATGTATCCCGTCATGAAGGCGTCAAAGCCGGCTCTGTGGGTTCCCGCGTCAGACGCGGTGGGAGCTTTCTGCTTAGGGGGCCGCACATGGTGACCCTCTTCAATGGGTTTGCAGGTCTGAGAGTCTCTTCGTGACAAATCTATGGCTACAGTTGCTGGAGGTCCATTGTGGTCTTCACCCTGATTGGAAGAGACTCTCAGTGTGGGCACCTCCTTCATCTCAGATTGGTCAGAGGACCCCAAAATGGTCTCCTCCATTGAGACGTCTTCTTTCTCAGTCTCCATGTGTTCCTGTCCTTTCTCCTCTTGCTCTGGGGGATCAGAAGGGTCCACTGAAGGTTTGCTACAAGGGGGTCCCATGCTTGCCATGTGTTCCTCTCCCTTCTCCTCTGGAGGATCAGAAGGGTCCACAAAGATCTTCCTACTAGGGAGTCCCATGCTCGCCATGTGTTCCTCTCCCTTCTTCTCTGGAGGATCGGAAGGGTCCACAACGATCTTCCTACTAGGGGGTCCCATGCTCGCCATGTGTTCCTTTCCCTTCTTCTCTGGAGGATCGGAAGGGTCCACAAAGATCTTCCTACTAGGGGGTCCCATGCTCGCCATGTGTTCCTTTCCCTTCTTCTCTGGAGGATCGGAAGGGTCCACAAAGATCTTCCTACTAGGGGGTCCCATGCTCGCCATGTGTTCCTTTCCCTTCTTCTCTGGAGGATCGGAAGGGTCCACAAAGATCTTCCTACTAGGGGGTCCCATGCTCGCCATGTGTTCCTCTCCTTTCTCCTCTGACGGATCTGAAGGGTCCACAAAGAGCTTCTTACAAGGGGGTTCCATGCTCGCCATATGTTCCTCTCCCTTCTTCTCTGAAGGATCGGAAGGGTCTACAAAGAGCTTCTTACAAGGGGGCTCCATGCTCGCCATATGTTCCTCTCCCTTCTTCTCTGAAGGATCGGAAGGGTCCACAAAGATCTTCCTACAAGGGGGTTTCATGCTCGCCTCCTCATGGGTCTCTTTTCCTTGTACTGCAACCTCCTTCTTTCTCTTCCGTCTCCTCCTCTTCTTGTCTTCTCTGCCCTTCTCATCCTCATCGATGATCAGGTCAATGTTGTGGGAGAGAGCACACTGCGGCCCTTTGGGGCACCAGCCGTACGCCTGCAATACATTGGAAATGTTAGACGTGATCAGCATGGAATATTTAAAGTGATTCTAACCCTAAAAACGATTTTTATCACCTTCACGTGTTGGTTGTACAAAGGTAAGAAATGTTTTTAGATTCCTTGTGTGAAGGGGAAGAGATGAGAGAAGAGGTCGGCGCTGTGCACGGCTGCAGCTCTTCTCCCCTCGCTTCCTCTTCATACATAGACGTGCTGGTTGGCTCTTGCTGCTGTCAATCAAATGCAGTGAAGAGGAAGAGGAAGTGGGGGGTGGGGAAGTGGGCAGAGAAGAGGAGGAAGTGGGGGTGTTCTGTGCAATACCACTGCACAGAGCAGGAAGTATAACATGTTTGATATTTTAATTAAAAAGAAAAAAAATCTCCCTTTAGCAACATTTTAATGGAAAACACCTTCAGCAACGTATAGGACCCATTCTTTCACCAATGTTTGTAGAAGCCGTCTGCATGCCTAGGGGCGGGATTGTATACACCTGTGTCCATGGAGGGGATTGGAACACCTGAATCACATGATATGGAGGGGATTGGAACACCTGGATCACATGAATGAGAGGGGATTGGAACACCTGAATCACATGATATGGAGGGGATTGGAACACCTGAATCACATGATATGGAGGGGATTGGAACACCTGAATCACGATTGGGAGGGGATTGGAACGCCTGAATCACATGAATGAGAGGGGATTGGAACGCCTGAATCACATGATTGGGAGGGGATTGGAACGCCTGAATCACGATTTAGAGGGGATTGGAACATCTGAATCACTTGATATGGAGGGGATTGGAACGCCTGAATCACTTGATATGGAGGGGATTGGAACGTCTGAATCACATGATATGGAGGGGATTGGAACGCCTGAATCACTTGATATGGAGGGGATTGGAACGCCTGAATCACTTGATATGGAGGGGATTGGAACGCCTGAATCACTTGATATGGAGGGGATTGGAACGCCTGAATCACTTGATATGGAGGGGATTGGAACGCCTGAATCACTTGATATGGAGGGGATTGTAACGCCTGAATCACCTGATATGGAGGGGATTGGAACTCCTGAATCACATGAATGGGAGGGGATTGGAACCCCTGAATCACGATATGGAGGGGATTGGAACCCCTGAATCACATGATATGGAGGGGATTGGAACCCCTGAATCACATGAATGGGAGGGGATTGGAACGCCTGAATCACATGAATGGGAGGGGATTGGAACGCTTGAATCACTTGATATGGAGGGGATTGGAACGCCTGAATCACATGATATGGAGGGGATTGGAACACCTGAGTCATATGATATGGAGGGGATTGGACCGCCTGAATCACATGATATGGAGAGGATTGGAACCCCTGAATCACATGAATGGGAGGGGATTGGAACCCCTGAATCACATGAATGGGAGGGGATTGGAACCCCTGAATCACATGATTGGGAGGGGATTGGAACCCCTGAATCACATGATTGGGAGGGGATTGGAACCCCTGAATCACATGATATGGAGGGGATTGGAACCCCTGAATCACATGATATGGAGGGGATTGGAACCCCTGAATCACATGATATGGAGGGGATTGGAACCCCTGAATCACATGATTGGAGGGGATTGGAACCCCTGAATCACTTGATATGGAGGGGATTGGAACCCCTGAATCACATGATATGGAGGGGATTGGAACCCCTGAATCACATGATAGGGAGGGGATTGGAACCCCTGAATCACATGATAGGGAGGGGATTGGAACCCCTGAATCACATGATAGGGAGGGGATTGGAACCCCTGAATCACATGATATGGAGGGGATTGGAACCCCTGAATCACATGATAAGGAGGGGATTGGAACCCCTGAATCACATGATAGGGAGGGCGGGGCCAATACTTTGGGCAATATAGTGCACATGAACCGGCTTTGTGCCACATAGCAACAATCAGGAGCCGGTAGCACAAGCTCCCGATCACATGAACACCAACAGCCAATCACAGTGATCACATGATCAGGAAGCCCATGAAATGCCTCCAGCATTAGGTTTCTTAAAGGGCCAGCACTGGACCTCTCACTCCTGACTCAGGCCAAGCAGTCCTCCTCAGTGAAGGGGAATATTTCCACGTATTTCTATACGACAACCAGGGACTCGGAATCGGGAGCTGCACTGACCCCGGGAATCTCTGGGGTGACACTTACAGAGAACGTCTCGCAGATGTGTGGCCCGTCTGTGGCGGAGCCGGGGGGTTCCTGGTCGGGGAGGGAGCACAGGCGGTAGTCCACGTACGTCGACATGCTGGTGGAATAGTGGCAGAACTCTACGGAGAGATGATTGGTGCTCGAGCCCATCCTCCGACAGTTCTCACGCTTGCTGCAAAGACAGGAAAGAACGTTTGAAAACCGCACAGAACATGTCAGAGGACGGAAACACCCTCAGCCGGCGTGCTGCCCTGCACTGTCCTCACACAGCAGGAGACCACATGAGACCACACATACAGTTGTGTCCAAAATTATTCAACCCCCAATGCTGTAAAGGGGTTTAGGGACTATAGTGTACATTTGGAATTGTATTCAGAATCAAATCCTACAAGGACGTTGTAACTACCCAAATGCAACTAAAATGACATCAATTGTTTATGTAATACAGTAGTAAATGGTTCTTATGTGGTTTCTTCATTGCCACAATTATTCAACCCCTTAAAGACTACCACTCTGAAGAACAGAGGTTCATACAGGTGCTTTCCATCAGGTATTGAAAACACCTGTGGATGTCACCGAGCAGCAATCAAGCATAATAAGCACCAATTAGGCAGCTTTAAAATGACTGTGATACTCAGCTCCTTCTAGACATTTACTGGTGTGGTTACAAACATGGTGAAGGCAAGAGAATGGTCCAGGAAGACAAGAGAAGAGGTGATTTCTCTTCACAGGAAGGGCAATGGCTATAAGAAGATTGCAAAGATGTTAAACATACCAAGAGACACCTTAGGAAGCATCATTCGCAAATTCAAGGCAAAGGGCACTGTTGAAACGCTACCTGGTCGTGGCAGAAAGAAGATGCTGACTTCGACTGCTGTGCGCTACCTGAAGCGTAGAGTGGAGAGAAGTCCCCGTGTGACTGCTGAGGAACTGAGAAAAGATTTGTCAGATGTGGGTACAGAAGTTTCAGCCCAGACAATAAGACGCACACTGCGTAATGAAGGCCTCCGTGCCAGAACTCCCAGGCGTACCCCCTTGCTGTCTCCAAAGAATAAGAAGAGTCGACTGCAGTATGCCAAAAGCCATGTGGACAAACCACAAAAGTTGTGGGATAGTGTTCTGTGGACTGATGAAACAAAATTAGAACTGTTTGGGCCCATGGATCAACGCTATGTTTGGAGGAGGAAGAACAAGGCCTATGATGAAAAGAACACCTTGCCTACTGTGAAGCATGGTGGAGGGTCAATCATGCTTTGGGGCTGTTTTGCTTCTGCAGGTACAGGGAAGCTTCAGCGTGTGCAAGGTACCATGAATTCTCTTCAGTACCAGGAGATATTGGATGGAAACGTGATGCAGTCCGTCACACACCTGAGGCTTGGGAGACGTTGGACCTTTCAACAGGACAATGATCCCAAGCATACCTCCAAGTCCACTAGAGCATGGTTGCAGAGGAAAGGCTGGAACATTTTGGAGTGGCCATCGCAGTCACCAGACTTAAATCCGATTGAGAACCTCTGGTGGGACTTAAAGAAAGCAGTTGCAGTGCGCAAGCCTAAGAATGTGACTGAACTGGAGGCCTTTGCCCATGAAGAATGGGCGAAGATACCCGTAGATCGCTGCAAGACACTTGTGTCAAGCTATGCTTCACGTTTAAAAGCTGTTATAACTGTAAAAGGATGCTGTACTAAGTACTAAGATTGAATGTCACTTGGGGGTTGAATAAAACTGATAATGCTGTGAGCACAGAAAAGACATTTGTGGTTATTTCATTATAACTGTTATGTTATATTTGTCTGACCTACAAGTGCCTCTTTAATGTAAATGTAAGCAAGATGACTGAATGATCAAAAGCAATGTCAAACTGGCCAAAACACTCAATTTCAGTGGGGGTTGAATAATTTTGGACACAACTGTACACTCACCTGACACTCCATGAGGTCCACCTGTCCAATGGCTCGGTAACACAAATGACTAATCAGCCAATCACATGGCAGCAACTCAATGCATTTAGGTATCTAGACGTGGTGAAGACAACTTGCTGAAGTTCAAACCGAGCATCAGAATGGGGAAGAAAGGGGATTTAAGTGACTTTGCACGTGGCATGGTTGTTGGTGCCAGAGGGGCTGGTCTGAGGATTTAAAAACTGCTGATCTAATGGGATTTTCACTCACAACCATCTCTAGGGTTTAGGGAGAATGGTCCAAAAAAGAGAAAATATCCAGTGAGTGGCAGTTGTGTGAAGGAAAATGCCTTGTTGGTGTCAGAGGTCAGAGGAGGATGGGCAGACTGGTTCCAGATGATAGAAAGGCAACAGGAACTCCAATAACCCCTCGTTACACCCGAGGTATGCAGAGTACCATCTCTGAACGTACATGTCCAATCTTGAAGCAGATGGGCTACAGCAGCAGAAGACCACACCGGGTACCACTCCTGTCAGCAGAAAACTACACCGGGTACCACTGCTGTCAGCAGAAGACCACACCGGGTGCCACTCCTGTCAGCAGAAGACCACACCGGGTGCCACTCCTGTCAGCAGAAGACCACACCGGGTGCCACTCCTGTCAGCAGAAGACCACACCGGGTGCCACTCCTGTCAGCAGAAGACCACACCGGGTGCCACTCCTGTCAGCAGAAGACCACACCGGGTGCCACTCCTGTCAGCAGAAGACCACACCGGGTGCCACTCCTGTCAGCAGAAGACCACACCGGGTGCCACTCCTGTCAGCAGAAGACCACACCGGGTGCCACTCCTGTCAGCAGAAGACCACACCGGGTGCCACTCCTGTCAGCAGAAGACCACACCGGGTGCCACTCCTGTCAGCAGAAGACCACACCAGGTGCCACTCCTGTCAGCAGAAGACCACACCAGGTGCCACTCCTGTCAGCAGAAGACCACACCAGGTGCCACTCCTGTCAGCAGAAGACCACACCGGGTACCACTCCTGTCAGCTAAGAACAGGAAACGGAGGCTACAATTCGCACAGGATCACCAAAACTGGACAATAGAAGGTTGGAAAAACATTGCCTGGACTGATGAGTCTGGATTTCAGCTGTGAGATTCAGATAGTAGGGTCAGAATTTGGTGTTAACAACATGAAAGCATGGATCCATCCTGCCTTGTATCAACGGTTCAGGCTGGTGGTGGTGTCATGGTGTGGTGGATCCATCCTGCCTTGTATCAACGGTTCAGGCTGGTGGTGGTGTCATGGTGTGGTGGATCCATCCTGCCTTGTATCCACAGTTCAGGCTGGTGGTGGTGTCATGGTGTGGTGGATCCATCCTGCCTTGTATCCATGGTTCAGGCTGGTGGTGGTGTCATGGTGTGGGGGATCCATCCTGCCTTGTATCAATGGTTCAGGCTGGTGGTGGTGTCATGGTGTGGTGGATCCATCCTGCCTTGTATCCACAGTTCAGGCTGGTGGTGGTGTCATGGTGTGGTGGATCCATCCTGCCTTGTATCCATGGTTCAGGCTGGTGGTGGTGTCATGGTGTGGGGGATCCATCCTGCCTTGTATCTACGGTTCAGGCTGGTGGTGGTGTCATGGTGTGGTGGATCCATCCTACTTGTATCCATGGTTCAGGCTGGTGGTGGTGTCATGGTGTGGGGGATCCATCCTGTTTGTATCAATGGTTCAGGCTGGTGGTGTCATGGTGTGGGGGATCCATCTTGCCTTGTATCAATGGTTCAGGCTGGTGGTGGTGGTGTCATGGTGAGGTGGATCTATCCTGCCTTGTATCAGCGGTTCAGGTTGGTGGTGTCATGGTGTGGGGGATCCATCCTGCCTGGTATCCATGGTTCAGGCTGGTGGTGGTGGTGTCATGGTGTGGGGGATCCATCCTGCCTTGTATCCATGGTTCAGGCTGGTGGTGGTGTCATGGTGTGGGGGATCCATCCTGCCTTGTATCCATGGTTCAGGCTGGTGGTGGTGTCATGGTGTGGGGGATCCATCCTGCCTTGTATCAATGGTTCAGGCTGGTGGTGGTGTCATGGTGTGGTGGATCCATCCTGCCTTGTATCATTGGTTCAGGCTGGTGGTGGTGTCATGGTGGTGTGGTAGATCCATCCTGCCTTGTATCCATGGTTCAGGCTGGTGGTGGTGTCATGGTGTGGTGGATCCATCCTGCCTTGTATCAATGGTTCAGGCTGGTGATGGTGGTGTCATGGTGTGGTGGATCCATCCTGCCTTGTATCAATGGTTCAGGCTGGTGATGGTGGTGTCATGGTGTGGTGGATCCATCCTGCCTTGTATCCATGGTTCAGGCTGGTGGTGGTGTCATGGTGTGGTGGATCCATCCTGCCTTGTATCAATGGTTCAGGCTGGTGGTGGTGTCATGGTGTGGTGGATCCATCCTGCCTTGTATCAATGGTTCAGGCTGGTGGTGTCATGGTGTGGGGGATCCATCCTGCCTTGTATCAATGGTTCAGGCTGGTGGAGGTGTCATGGTGTGGTGGATCCATCCTGCCTTGTATCCACGGTTCAGGCTGGTGAATGTGTGGTGTCATGGTGTGGTGGATCCATCCTGCCTTGTATCCACGGTTCAGGCTGGTGGTGGTGGTGGTGTCATGGTGTCAGGGAGATTTTCTTGGCACTAGCACGGTGGACCCAATAAAGTGGCCGGTGAGTGTACAAACAGAACAGAGGGCCCTGCATTGCTGAATGTGCAGGAAAGACTCATAGCAAACAAGATGCTGCAAAACCCCCAATTCTCCTCTACAAGGAATATCTGCACCACCGCCAAATAAAGGGAGGAAATGTGTACCATGCCAGGTGGCTGCAGAGACCGGGATTATGGGATATGTAGTTTCTTCCTGGAAGTGTCAGTTCTCAGGAGACCCCGGGATTGTGG